TTACCATTTGATAACCTTTATAAAAGCTACAAACTTTTAATTTGTTCGAAGTCAAAAATTCGTGTGTATATGAAGTATTTTTAAGAATTTTTGTTCGAAATATTCATCCTTATTGCTCAATAGAAATAGATCGAAAGTATAGGTGGGTGTGGATGTCGGTGTATGCATGGATTTCCTCTGGAGTCACATTCACAGCCTTATATAATTCTGAAAAAACTCGTTGAATTCTTTCTGTTTTGATCAACAATAATGCGAATTCACCTTCACTGTCAAGATTGTAGATGTATTCTTTTTTCATATTTTTTTGAAAAAGTCTAGGAATTTCGAATAAATGTAATTTGATTCTTGATTTGAGGCTGCATGTTCTTCTTAGATGATCGAGTAAAAAACACAATGGACTGAAGTATGAGACAAGCTGTTACACGTTTCTTTTCTGATAGACACATCGATGCTTTCATTGAATAAAAGCAACAAGAATAGATTCACATATAATGTTTAAATATACAGTAGAGAAAATGTTTGATGCATCCCTTTTCTTGTCGTTCGTACTCAATGACAGCATCGACATGTCTGTCATTAACGACAAGTTCATCAGCTTGTCGAATACTTCAAACATTGTGTTAGTTTTTTTTGATCAACTAAGAATAGTATGAGGCCTCAAATAAAAGATGAAATCATATTAATACGAGATGCATATATCTTTTCAAGAAATACGAAATCTCCCGAATATTGAAATGGAAATTCATTGAGAACGATACTTTGGGCCATTTTTATTTTTTTCTGAAATTGAAGATTTTCTTTCGACGCTTATTGAGCAAACGCCTCTTTCAGAGTAAGTAACACTTATTTAAAAGCGGTTGATGACAGTTATGACAACTTAACTATCAACTTCCTTTCAAGATTCACCTCTTGAACAAAACGTCAATAGACATGTAATGTAATTCCTTGATGTTAGAGAGAAAATTTCGTTACTTTTAATTTTACTGTCTTTGTTTAATTTTTTTTTTGCAAGGTTCAATAATGCAAAAGTTGAGTACTTTCTATTTGTTTTTTATTTTAATATACAAACATTCCGATTTAGCTTGTCTAGCTAATCAGAAATATCACTCGTAGACTAACTTTTTTTTTCTCATACGCATGGAGTTTTTGAGCTTCTTCAGCAACAAAGTCAAGTTCTGTATGCGCTTCTTGAGATGTACCCATGTCAAACATGTTGCAGTTGAGTTTGAAATCTAGTTGAGATTGGAATCACTAAGTTCGCTTTATTTGTTTAAAAATTTTTCTAACACATATTCCAGAAAACTTGTTTGTGTCTTATCAAACTTATATTTACTATTACTTCTCGAACAATAAAAAATATCTTCGTACTGTTATTTTGTTGATGAAAAGCCATTAGTCATTCTATTTATTGCTTTCTTGAAAAAGTGAATCTTACTCATCATTTACCTTATAGTGTAGTTTCTATATTAGTGCTCAGGACACGAGGAGATTGAACGATTGGTTGAAATTAAATCGAGAATATCTAAGCTATTTCTTTTTATTAAATAGCTTTTTTTTCTTCGATGCTCATGATATGGGAAATCGAATAATTGATTAAATATTTAGTGTTAGGAAATTAGTTGTTAAAAACTTGAAATTGAAGAATTTATGCTATTTAGAATAGCAATCGATCTGTTTTTCGACTGATTGAGTAATAATTGGACTATTAATGGATTGTTGATTATCTATTCGTTGGACGTATTATGAGGAAGTTGATCAAAGTAAGATTGTAGTTTAGAATTGGGAATGTTTATTTTTTTTTGTAAGAGATTCACATGGAAAAAACTGTATGTAATTAAAAACAAACAGACATAGAATGTGTTTTTTGACTGGATGTTCAATAGCTACGAGCATCAATCGATTTATTATATGGAGATGAATAAAACTCTTAAAATTCTAATAGTCACTAAATAAAAATGGTTGAAAATGAAAATTTTTTATATGTAAGTCGTTTAAAATAATTCAAAATAAATCAAAGAAGCTCGACCAATCATTTAGAATTGCTAAAAAATTACAAAAGTTGAATACAATAGTAAAGAAATATTAATTATCATGTAACTCATGGTATTAACATACATTTGAAACTCAACTAAACTTCCATGCCAATTGTGACATGTGTATGCAGCATTCATTCAACGAATAATGCACTTCAATCTACGTAGCTTCTTTCGCTCTCTTCCAATACACTTTGCAGACAACACAGATGATAATCATAACCTTTTATTCTTATGGTGTCTTATATTGATGCACCATTAAAAAAAACTATACATATATTTCTCTTTGTCTTGTTTCCTTTATATCTAATTGATGACCTTGCAATGTTACAATGAAATTGAGTGAAGCGGAAATAAATACATCTACAGAATTTTTGTCGAATAAACATTTTCATAAAAAAATTTTGTTTGTCTGTTTATTTATTAACAAATTCTTTTGAATGAATCTTAGCTGTTCTTAAGAAATCTGCTTAGTTATCTGATAAATGATGCATATTCATTTGTTTCGCATAGATGTTGAGTTTTGTGCAATAAGTTTTAGATTATCATTCGAAAAAAACAAGAATCTATAGAAAACTTATTTCATAGAGTTTAAGTCCAGAAGTATAGCTATAGTGATATAGACATTAGAACATGGATATTGCAGTAGAGGTATAAGAATATAGGCTTATAAGTTTATAGGAGTAAGAATAGGATAAACGGATAGAAGCAGATTTTTACACGAAAAAAAAATGCAAAATATTTTAATAGCATGCATCGTAAAAAAAGCATTCTCGAACAGCATGTTTCCATTTTGAGTGAAACTAAAACACGTTCCAATGTCTTTAAAGTTTAACGAAAATATGCGAATTGAAAAAGACTCACTGAAATGCAGTTTTTTTTATTGAAAGCGTGTTCTTTTGTAGATATGTCAAACTTTTCGCAAAAAGAATTGCTGTCACTTTGCAAAACTCCTGAACCTATAATTTAAGCTCACTTTTTGAGATTAAATATTGTTGTTATTTGGAAGAGAATTGACTTTCCTATCAAGCGTGCACAAAGAGCTTGTGAACATTTCAGGCTTCGTTTAAAAACTTGCGATGAGAACATGAGATTCAGCGATTTCACGTTGTTTTGTAAGACATTTCGGAATAGGTGCATTGTTATGCTTGTCAAAAAACATTCACCAAAGATGAAAAAAAAAGAATATATTTGAAAATATTACAGACCTATGGCGAGCATGAATAGAAGTCTGGCTAGTCAGAGAGTGATTTCAAGAAAACGTCATTACAAAGACCGTCATTTTGATGCTTATCAGTCTTCACTCTAAAATATTTTCTGTTATCGTTTATTAAAAAAACATTTTATATCAATTGCAGAACATAAAAGGAGAATGGTTTTGATATCACATTCAAGTCAAAGTAATAAATTCTGACAGAGACATTGATACAATACTATGAGGCTCAATTATCTTAGAACATCCGTTACAAGTTATAGTCAAGACTATTAGATTGAATTTCTACGAATAGAATTAGCCCAACAGAGTCATTCCGAGTCGTCAGACTCCATGAAATAAACTTTTCGTAAAAATATTATCTCTTGTTATTTCCAAAAGCAAAGCATTATTTGGATAGTATTGTTTGACAAGACTTTAGTTTCACTCTATCGATAAAGAATAAGTTATTATGAACAATGCCACATTAAAATCGTGAAAGTCCTTAAAAAATGAGTATTGGAATGAACGAGACCAAAGACTCACTTTTAGCATATACGACATTGTGACACATTGAATACTAAACATTGTATGTGTTAAGTAGGCGAACAGGATGTGTTGCGTAAAGAGAAGACATGCCCATTGACATCTGCGATAGCTCATATTATTTAAAGAGGGTGACTATCGTTTCCTGATAGTTTGTCTTCGGCGAACTACGCGTCAATGTGACAAGCACTCGTAATGCATCGAATCAGACTCAGTGAGATCCGAGAGTGAAGATTAAATTGAATAACAAGAGAAGGAAACGAAGCAAGATGAGTGGTGCGTATGAACATTTCGAGAGGAATGAGTCAAACTATTAGCACAGAAACTATTTTAAGCTCGACTGAAGGAGAAGAAAAAGTGAAAATGAGAAAGAAAGTGCATATATTAGTCTTACCATCATCATAGACGTATTTATCAATTCCTTGGTCATTCGAATCATATAGGTGTATAACTGAAGACTAACAATCAATAATGGATTTCAAACTACAACTTTATTATCGCCGTTGTCAAGCAATACTCGTAAGATAAAATGTTGTAGAAAGATTAATATAGTTTTATCTACATCGTAGATAAAAGCATCATACAATGCAACTGCTCGCTTTGGTCATTTACGCTCACGACATATTATTCCATGTCTTTTCATTTCCATTATCGGTATACTTTCAATAACGGGTTCACCCCAGTTTATTTTTCAATCTCATTTGCATATTCCATGGCTTACAGATGTACAGCACGTACAACCATTGGTTTGTGTTAAAGACCCATATCTACCCAACTGGCCACGAGCTGTTTATCCGCATGCTCATAGGATGCAGCAAGACCATCTTCTTACCGTTATCATCGTCACAGCACGACCTGAATTCAAGCGGCTACCATTGACCTTAGCCGCACTCATATGTCATCTAGATTCACGACATCTCGCTGAAGTGATGTTCCTTGTACCACCACAAGATTTGTTCTTGTTGAAACCGTTTTTGACCGACAACAATACTAATCATTGGCCATGGTTAATATCAATTGTGCCCGATGATCTTCTCTTGAAGCATAGACACACACATTCATATCGCCTACAAATGATTTTCAAATTGGTGATTGCTCAAGTAATCAAAACTGAATATTATATGATACTAGACTCAGATTGTGTCGCTTTATGGCCAATTCATGTGGAACAGTTGTTGCGGCGCCAGACGAATGCGACTGCAAGCACTCATTATAAAGCTCTCTATTCAATGGAATCAAGATCCAGTCATAGTAAATGGTGGCCAGAAAGTGAACAATTGTTACAGATTAAGCCAAATACATGTGCCTCAACAGATCCAACATCAATGACGATGGGTGTCACTCCGCTCATCCTGTCCAGATCGATCGCATTGCGAACATTGTGCCGATTACAAATGCTCTACGGTAAGTTCAGAACGTATACCGTTCTTCAAATATGATACTAAATGCACTCAGGCTTTTTCTCATTTGTAGGAGATCGAGTCTTTTTGAATAAATTAGTTAATTGGGGCCTATGGCGGACATTTGTTGGTCGAATGTGGACAGAATATACCCTCTACTATCTTACTGCTCGTTGTACCCACACATTTGATACATATCACTTTCATTATACAACATCCTCTCTCAATTCGTTAGGCTCAGTGAATTTAGGTGGACTCAGTGTATGGTCCTACGATGATTGGACATCGTTAAAACGTCGTCAACTTTTTGAATTAGTTAACGCTGGATTGAAATGGCGTCGCAAAGAAATCAATGAGGTTGATGGACAGCTGATTGTTGATAATTCAACTACGACACATGGACTATTCAGTGTTCTTCAAGGTCGTCAGAATATCAATCCAAATCTATTCCATCAACTGCTCTATCCACTCTTCATTGAATATTTGAAGCAACAGCATGATACACAGCAAATAGTAACGATAATCAATCGCATGTCCGAACAATTGATCCAACGTTGATTATCTCAGGCAGATTGTGCCGCATAAATTTATCGTCAAGAAATAGAACATAAATAGGTACTTGAAAATAATGCTGCATTTTATAAAGAACGATGTATGTAATGCAAGAAACATATCACACTAAAGCCATAAGTAATCATGATTTGTCAATGATATTTTGGGTTAATGAAGATTTAAGAATGCAAAATATTTGTCTGCGACTGTCAAAGCATTATGCATAGACCGAACTGCTGCAAAATTTATTTATTAATTTGATGTGCATAGTCGAATAGCGTTTTATGAGAAAAAATTAGTTGTTGCAAACAATTCATTTTTCTTTACAAAGAAATCCAATTTTCGAATATTTCCAACCTGTAATATATATATTTATTATTGCGTTGAAAAATTTCGAAACAATTTCTTTTTGGATTATCTTTGAAAAATGTATTTCTCAAAACATTTCAATATACCTTTGATATCAGTCTCATTCCCCTAAGAATGATATGGGTGGGCATGCTCTTCTTCCGTATCCATACACACAGATACCCCACGCATATCCATACCCACACTCACACTCTCCTGCAGTGAATGTTGCAGAGAATAGCAATGATTTATAAGAGAGTCGAACAAAGAATACATAAATATTCGACTGAGATCTGATTACTTGTGATTAAATCTGACTTTTGAAAGAAGTGAGAAAAACAAGAAAATATTCAACATGTGAAAAACTTTCGACAGTCATTAAAATGTGACAAATCAAGATAAACATATCTGTCAGATGCATAAGCAAGAAGAGCAAAACATTTAATGTAATTGCCATTCCATTGATTTTATTCTTTTCCTTGCCGTTTACAGAGGTAAATTAAATCGCCTTACATCATCTGAAAAACTCTGAAACTTTGGATGATTAGAAAAGATGTGTTTAAATAATCGATAGTTCGCTTAACAGTGCGGCTGAACGTAAATAATGAAGTACTATAATCTGTTTCAATATTATTAAATGTATATATATTTATTATCATTTTCATTATTCATCTCAACCCCTTACTCCCATCCCCCTGCTCATTGACACCTGGTTCAAAAACGATAAGAACCTTTTCTGTAGTAAAGTTCATGAACTATCTATTGGTAAAAAGAATATTGCTCTGAATTGTTTCACCTTTGAAATATCGGACATACAAAATCGATAATTTTGACAAAATGAAAAAAAGTCGAATTTTCTGAAATGAAATGTTCTCTACTCATAGTCAATATAGATCTTTTGATATTTCTGTGTAGTATCAATCGTTGAAAATATCCACTAGTGGATTACACATATTTCGAAAGTTTCATGATAACTTCGCAAATGACAGATACAAGGTTATACAGTGGGCTATGCAGTCATTATTGAACAGATGGAGAGTAATCAAGAATAAAGTTAATATGTGTATTATAAATCTCAACTCATGAGAAATTGAGATCGAATTTATCATGAATTAAATTTCTTCAGAGGTGATAAAATGTTTCAGAGAACATTAGACTCTAATTTGAAATTACGTTTAAAAAAAACATGTATTCTTTGGTATTAATTTTTATCGGTTCATTCTTTCCTTTTCTCCATTATTCTAATAGCACAGTATAGATGTTACTTCTCCAACGCACGATCGTTGAAGCAATCAAACTGTCCTACACTAGGAGCACCACGCTTAGTAGATCAGACCATACTATCGGCATATCTGGAAGGTTAATACGTTATTTATAAAGTTATTTTATTAATGACTCTTCTGGAATCGCTATGGGAGGTAAAGGGTTCATTCGTCTTAATAAAAGACAATAAATTCTTGGAAATCGACCGAGGATTTGAATATAACCATCAAGTTCATTTTCCTGGTGAGAAACGTCAAATTCAAGTAAGGGAGCATGTTTTGAATAGATACTCAATGACCATTGAAAAATGAATTCGTTTCATTTTTCAAATTCATCAAACACATATCCACCGACATGAGAAGTTGAATCGATGCTGAGCAACAAAGTGCGGACATGTACTTGTAGGCTTAGAAGTGATCTCTTTGTTTTTAGCATTGATTCGAGTAGATTGGTCTATTAATTTGGATCTACATGATTTGGTTCGTCTGTAATAACGGACACGAGAGTGTGAATGCGTTTATTTTAGTGACAAACACCGATTTATCAGATATTCGCATGAATATATGAGTTCTATTTGTTTTAGGTCATACTTGCCTCTACCAAGAATGTGATGTAGATTTGTGTGAAAGATGTATACTAAATAATACGCATGGGTGTCTTCTCCTTGAATATTTTGTGCGTAAACAGCATTATCCATCAGAAGAAATTTTCAGATTAGTTTCTCACATATTTGATACTGGAAATTAAGAAAAAGTTGCAACAAAAACAATGTGAAAATATGAAGTTAAGTGTTGAATTTTGTTATTCTGCTCATTGTTATTCATATTGTCGTGATTGTACATTGAAAATTACACAATTTAATAAAGAAGTATAAGTAAGTTCTTAATCTTCTCGGATAGATTTTATATCATGTGATCCAGATCATGGTTCTCAATTGTTTTTAACGGTGCGAAGGGGCTACAAATTTGGCAGAAAATTGAAAAAGTACCTGCATAGGACTTTCTAGGAAATAGAGAAAAATAGACTTTCTTTTCAATGAACTTATCGTGCACACGATGAAGTTAGAAAAAGATCAATTTTTGTATTAACAAGTATTGCTTGTGTAATCAACGAATTGTATATATTATTAAGTCATTTCAAACATCTAAATGAATTTTTTTTTCATTTGTCTTTATTTAATTTTGTTTTATGAGCAAAAGAACCTGTTTAATAATAAATAATAGTGTACAAAGAAATTTTTCATAATTACCAAAACAATACATTATGTTTAATGATAATAAAAGAAAGACAACTTGTCTTCAAATATGTTATTAGTCTCTTTCTGTTGTGATATCAACTCTTTTTACGTGTACAATATTCAATATACATCTTATATAATGTTTTATTTTAAAAATACTCGAGTCTCATGTAAAAATGTGTCTTAATAACTACAAAATATAAGATCATCTCGACATTTTGAAAAATAAGAAATAATTGGACAGTAAGAACTCATCCATCACATTGATCTTCTATCCAGTGAAAAGACGTACCGATCCAGTTTTAGTTTCGACTTCCGTCATTAGCAGTAAAACTTGAAAGTTTGCGGGCACTGTGACAAAGATAAGTTTCCCTAACTGGAACTAAAGTTTATAGTTAAATATTTTATGGTTTTAAGCAAATTATCTTATAAATCATATCAATCA